ATCTGGTTGGCTGCCGTGAGAACTGGGTGTTCAGCTAAAGATAGACCTTTGGTTTGATCAAATTGGTATCTTCTTACATCCCCCTCCTGAAATCTGGTGGAATGGAAGGTGTTTCACTAAGTTTCCAAATAGCTCAGAAGCTTGGTTGTCCCTTCAATGACAGGGAGACGTTTTGTAATTCTAATCAACTAATTCTACCTTTGTCCCCACCCTCCTCCCTGCTGAGTTCTACAAGTATGGAGGGTGGAGCTGACAGCCAGGCTCACTCTCTAGGTCTGGTTATAAAGAAGAAGGTAGGCAGGCAGATTGGGTTGGACACTGGTGGAGCACTGCTCTACCAGCCCTAATGGAACAGCATCCACTAGGTGATGATCTCCATGTATTTGGTGGCCATGGCGCTACTGGGTCTGTGGTTGAGTTCTCCTGGCGGTAATCTGTTGCCATGTGTTATTCAATTCCATCCCATTTTATCAGAAAAGTCACGAACCCTCTGCCAGTTCATGCAGTATGTGTGCATGCATTTAATTAATTTACGTATTTATTTTGGCATTTGCACCCCACCTTCATAAGCGAAATCACGCTCAAGGAGTTCAGGTCACGGGGAAGCGTTAAACCTGGTTCCTTCTGGTTTTAAGCTCTGTTTTGTAGCCATGACAATAAATCCCCTCTCAAAATAGTCGTAATACACATCAGGATTAGAACCCACCATATCTGGATTGCACGACAGGTTTCTCAACCACCGTGCTACTGTTGCAGTGAGGGAGGTTGCTGTTGAGCAATTGTATTTTGAAAGTGTCTGTGGATGAAGTGGTGCAGATATTAGATGGAAGGGGAAAAATCTCTCAGTATTCTGCCACTGCAACAGAAAATGCAAGAAAGGGGTGCATCTGTATACCATTTTTCAGCTTTGCCATCACCGGGTTTCTGATGCTGATTCCATCCATATGTCAGCGGCTTGTTTTGTCATAGCTGTGCAAGGCTTCCCGTCCAGTTCTTACTGTAATTAAGTTTGGTACCCGTTAAATCCTGATGGATGCCCCAGCGTGCCTCTCGTCAAAGGCCAAGAGAGCGTGCAGGCTGCGTTTCTCAAACACATGGTCCCGGTTAACAGTTTTTCATTGACTATGAATCTATTAAAAAAAAATACATATGGGACCAAGGTATATGGCTTAATCCTGTCTCCGCGCCTCCTTCTTCAGTCTAATTGGGGTGCAAAACATTTTAATAGACACCGTGGAGTCTGTTTAACTACACCCTGTCAGAACAATGCCCTATTCACATCCCAAACAGAACACTAGTGATCGGGCTAATATCTTGAAACTCAAAAACAAGTTTTAATTGGAACAGATGCTGCAAAGACCAGCGCACGAGTGATCAAAACCAGGACTGGCCCATTGATTCATTTTTAATAGCAGCTTTCGTTTTTTATTAGAGGGGGGATGCAGAATTCGGTAACATGATGCAAACAGTCAGGAACAATACTCTGAGAAAAAGCACCTGATTTAAAACCAGGTTCTCTGTCAAATACTGTTTCGGGCAGGATTATAATGTTTCCCATTGTCCTTGCCCCACCAAGCTGCTTGTTATGTTTCGTTGATGTTTATGCCCCGTATTCTCCAGGTAACTTTTACTTTGCGTTTTTGATGAGCTCTGAGTTGCCTTGATATCCTGTTTGCTTGTCTGTTCTGGAGCCGAGGTCAGACATCTTCTTGATACAACCCAGCTTGTGCATAGCTGTCAACTTTTCCCTTTTCTTGCGAGGAATCCTATTTGGAATAAGGGAATTTCCCTTTAAAAAAAGGGAAACATTGACAGCTATGAGCTTGTGGGGTCTGAAGACTCAGTTGGGATTGGGAGGGGGGGCGGAGAAATTGTGTTTTGTTTGCATTTTGATGAGAAAGTACTCCATTAACACTGGCTAAGCCAATACGCCAACCAAAACATTTTTATTTCTTAGAAATTTGCCCTTCTCCAAATTTTGCAGAGAGCTACTCCAGCTACAAAAATGCATGTATCAAGGGAAATAGCATACAAAATCACCCCACTGCTATTCCCAGAGACAGATGCAGACAGAAGCTGCAGATCTATTCAAGGTCCATTCCAGCCTTTTTTATTCTGCCTGTGCCTCTCTATGTCTGCTTCCCTTGATCCCCATTAGGGTTTGCCTGGGCACATCTGCCCCCCCTGCACACACCTATGGGAAAGACCCCAAAAGTGGGGACTCTCACGGGATAGCAAGGGAATATTTGGGATCTAGCTCTTTCCAAGCCTTTAATGCAACACAGAAGTGTTGTTCGAGGCCAAACCAAACATGGTCATTTTGACAAGGTACAGTTCCCCATATATCAGCTATGTAAACAGAAGTGACGTTAATGTTAGGCCTCCAGCCACTCACACTTACTTACGGCCAGGCAATGTCATGGGTAGTTGAAGCCTTGGCAATGCATTCAATGATTTGGTTATTCGACAGTGTCCTCGTTCGATTTTTCTTCTTGTAAGTGACAGGTGTAAGCATGTAACACTATGCCGGTTCTGTTGGAATTTTATCAACGTTATCTTACCATAAAATTAAAAAATATATATATGACAGGGGGGATTAGACAAATTTATGGAGGATACGGCTATCAATGGCTACAAGCCATGATGGCTCTGCTTTGCCTCTATGGTCAGAGGCAATAATGCTTCTGAAAGCCAGTTGCTGGAAAATGGAGGAGAGGGGAGGGCTTTTTCTTCTTTTGTCCTGCTTGTGGGTTTCTCATAGGCATCTGGTCGGCTACTGTGAGAACAGGAGCTGGACCATTGGCCTGATCCAGCAGGCTCTTTTCTGCATTGGATTTCTATTTTACTTTATTATTTATATTTTTAAAAATGGCCTGCTAAATTCTTGCTCCGATCTTGCCCCTATTTTGTGGCATTTTGGTTCATTCTAAATAAAGGCTGGCTCTTTTGCCTAGTGCACCATCCAAAATAAATCTCCATGGGTTTTTTTTCCAGTATAAAGACTCTATACTTCTGCTCTCTGCCTAACCGAGAATCTGTAATATTCATTTGTAATATTGATTATTGTTTCTTGAGAAAATGTCCCTAGAGTGAAGCTATGTGATGATGGCATAGCATCATTTTGATGGGGCCAAATGTGGGGAAGGGGGGGAAGAATACTGCCTCACCCCCCCCCCCATTGGCTGTAGCCACACTGTGCAGTATACACACTAAACTGCGGTAAAATCCCGGTGAACTTAGTGGGGTTGCACCTGAGGGGTTTGCACTACAATCCAATTCCTGAATTTTTGCCCTTTGGGGTGATATGAATCCCCCCCCCACATCTTTTCATTGCAGTTTGAGGTAGGCAACCCAGCTGAAGATTGTCACCCCAATAGATGCTTCTACTCTTCCCTTTGATGTGGTTAAATAATGGGTTTTCCATTCTGCCATTTCTATGCTTTCCTTGTCAAATTATTTCATTCTAGCTTTTTTGTGTAAGCTAGATGCTGTGTCCTCTGATTACAAGATAGGGTAACCCAACACCTGCGGGACAGCAAATTAAGTTATCTGATAATCACAAGCAACACAACAGCTGACTTTCCTTTTAACATTCCCTTTATGTGATCAAGAGAACACTTCCATAGCACAGCAGTTAAGGCTCTCGCAGGGGTGAGATGGGAGAATGCCGCTAATCTATCTCAAAATATTTTAATTATGGCGTTTGCTGCACCGCATATGGGATGCATTGAAAAATGCATTAGCAGGGAAATCTATTTAAATGCAAGTATTACTGTAAACTATAACGTGACATTTTTCTACTTGACTCTAATAGTCTGAAGTTCATACTTGATAGTGGCAATTTGCGGTTGCCTCATTCTGCTGAAACTCATCCTTGATGAAGACTCAGGTATGATTGATACTTTTATAATGTTCTGCAGAGACTCTAGGCCAGGGGTCAGCAAACTTTTTCAGCAGGGGGCCAGTCCACTGTCCCTCAGACCTTGTGAGGGGCTGGACTATATTTTGGGGGGCGGCGGAAATGAACAAATTCTTATGCCCCACAAATAACCCAGAGATGCAATTTAAATAAAAGCACACATTCAACTCATGTGAAAACATGCTGATTCCCGGACCGTCCACGGGCCGGATTTAGAAGTCAATTGGGCCGGATCCCGCCCCCGGGCCTTAGTTTGCCTACCCATGCTCTAGGCCAAGCCCATATAGTAAAGTTGGGCAACCCTTTTCAGTCTGAAGATTGCAGCCAGTGGCACGGCAAGGTCAGGTGGTACCTGGTGCAGAAAATTTCTTGTCACACCCCCCCACACACACATTGAAATCTAGTTGGACTACCAAGAGAAGGATTGACCAAAGTTGTTGAGCTTTTTTTACGGGAGCCTTGGCCAACCCTCCCCCCAAAGGGGAGGGGGTTTGCAGGGTTTGGGTCCTGGATTGAGAGACCTTCTGCTTCTCTCCTTCCCTCCACCCTCTGCATGTTTGCTCACCTGCCTCCTTCCTGTCCTCTCCCTGCCTGCCTGCCTGCCTGCCTCCTCCAGCAGCCTGGGAGCATGGGGCTGTCAAGACGATGCGGCAAAAAGTGGTGTAACTACCCCCCCTCACCCTGACGGCTCGGGGTTGGCGGGATTCATGGGCAGGCAGTGCACCGGTGATGACACCTGGCGTGGTCCGCCCCCACCGTGCCCACCTTGCTCTGCCACTGATTGCATCCTCCTGTGGACAACACTTGCCAGGAGCAAAATTGGGCAAGGCAAGACATGTGACTCTTACCTTTGCACAGTACAGGTAGGTGGCAAAATGTGAATCAGCATTTAAAATAACATGGGCGTGGCCAGAAAGAGTATGGACCTCAATTTGGCACCTTAGAAAAGATAAAGATTGGGTGCAAAGCACTTCAGAGGCTCTCTGATTTGACTTTGTGTCCAAATGCTAACCCTGATTCTGTAAAAATGAAGATTTGTACTTCCCCTGTGGGGGTATTTTAAATATGGCTTTAACTTTCTTTCTTTTTATTGACAGAATTGGATGAAATTGACAGGCACATTAGCATCTCTTCAGTGGAGAAATTACAGACAAATTAGAAGCAGTGATCTTTTTAGTACTGAATGCATATGTCTGTGTGTGTGTGTGTGAGAGAGAGAGAGAGAGAGAGAGAGAGAGAGAGAGAGAGAGATTTTAAATGGCAGCTAGACCTTAACTGCTCCACACGAAGAAAGTTTAATGGAGGTTTTTGGTGCATGGAGGTTTGCCAAGGAGGTGGTGCCCTGCTCAAGATTGCCTGCATTGCTCCTTCTTCCCTTTATGGTACCAGGTATGCCTTTCTGCAAGCAGCTGTGAATTTGGGGTTCACTGCAGACTTCAATGCACTTACGGGAAGCCCCAGGAGGGGCCCCAGAAATGGTTGTTTGCAGAGAAATATCTCCAAATAACTTGGACATTAAAGAGCAAATATTGCTATTATTGTCATTATGGTCATTTCCTATTGCCTTTCCAAAGCACTTAAAAGTATTTGAATAACAATGTCTCCATCCCTGTGGCAGATGCAGTAAGGAAGGGAAGGCTGGCGGTTTTGGGAGGAGGAAGAAACCATATCAAAAGAGCCGCTGGGGGTGCAAAAATCACTTGGCAACCTCATTAGAGGGGGAACAAAATATAACATTACATTTCGAAATGGGAATCTCCATGTGGGCAAAGTCGGATGAAGGCCTCCGAACACAGAAGGCGCAGGAGCTTTTTCATTTATGCAAAGCGCCACCATTGCGGAGCCTGAGACTTTCCCGGTTGTTTACCCAAATGAGCCCACCAATCTAGCAAAGTGTGTTTGCTTTCAGAGGCCAGTTTGGCCTCCCTGCATTTATACCACGCCTGGTATACTCTTTGTGCTGCCCCAGAGCTTGGTGGGTGATGTTGCCAGCCTTAATGGCTGCTCTGTAGCATTGTGCAATGGGGGCACCATCTATTTGCTTTGTTTGCTCAATCTCCTCCCCACCCTTTCCCGGCAGGTGTTTCAGCCCTTACTCTGGAATCACAATGACAGCTTTAATTACTAACATTTCTTGGCCAGCAATTCCACCTCTGTTGGCGCTTGGAGCAGCAGGGATCATTGCAACTGAAAAAGCTTGAGTGGTTCGCCCTACTGAGAGACGACTGTCGTCAGATGATCCGCTGCGAACAGCCAATCCCTTCTGGTGTTTCAGTGCTCTGCCCAGAACAGTCACCTCACTTGGCCTAAGGATGACTTCAGAATCTGTAGTTGCGTCAAAGATCTGGATACTTGCCTCCTTTAAAAAACAATAAAAGGGGACAGGGAATGCCTCTCGAAACATCATCACCAGACTCAGCACTAGGGTTTCCATTGCAGTGGCAGCTGGTTTCATTGATGTTGGGCCTGTGGCCGCCATTTTGAATCAAGATGGCAGGCTGAAAAACCACTTTGGCATGACTTTGCCCATTTTTTGGCACAGGTTTGGCTACATCTCAAGAAAGCATCAGCAAACTTGCACAAATGTCTCGGGGGGGGGTGTTACATCAGTGTTGGTGTGATGGGTCCAAAACACAGACACTGTCCATTTTTTAAAACACACACACACACACACACACTTTTTTGTTTCTACAAATTCCCAGGCACTCCCCACTAGAAAATACTAAATAAAAATCATTTGGAACAGACCCAGGCTCTGTGTGTGTGTGTGTGTGTGTGTGTGTGAGAGAGAGAGAGAGAGAGAGAGAGAGAGAGAGAGAGCGCCACACACAGAGGGACACTAAGAATTTAATAATATAAAGCAGACTACGGCTGAATAAAATTACTTGAGACAGTCTAAATAAAACAGACTTCACTGAACGAAAAGCAAGCGCTTCAGACCAGAGCTATTGCTAAGGGGGGATTTACTGACTCTAAGAAGGAGTAACTGAGCAACACTTCGATACCCAGGTTCAAAAATTCAAACAGCAACATTAAATCAAAAGATAGTAATTGGGAAGACAGAGTAGGCAAAAGGAATGGAATGGTACGCTGACTCAAGAACAAAACAGCAAGATTGATTTATTATTATTTTTAAGGGGATGAATGACAAAGAACTGTGTGGATTTGGAAGGAAAAGGGGAGTAAAGTGACTGGACGGGACTTGGAAAGTAAGCCACAGAAATAGCTCCTACTGTTTCACCAGAACTTTTAAAATGACATTATTGCTTCTCGGAGAACTTGCGAAAGAGCACATGAAACCAAGGCTATTTATTCACAGCAGCAGCAACAGCGCTCTCACACACACACACACACACACCGCACCAAAGCACTGATATTAGAGATCCCTGGTAAAACCAGTCACATGGATTACAAATTAGACTTACCAATTGCTCTCTCCCCCCACCCCAATCACCAATGTTTGCTTTCCCAATTACCCCACCCTGGCAGGCATTTACTTTTCAGCCTTTGAATTGCCAAGGGGCCACAAATAATAATAATAATAATAATAATAATAATAATAATAATAATAATTACTATTATTATTAATTCAATTTATACACCGCCCTATACCCAGAGGTCTCACAAAGCACTCTGGGTAGTCCCCGCTTCAATCCAGGGCACCTTGTAGGGATCTCACCTCTTCTCGGATGGGTCCACCATCCCTTCAAAGCACCTTGCTTCATCTTGAGATTTGGGGTGCATCTGAACCCATGGCACACCCCAGTAGCGAGTGTATGCTGGCCCCAGCTGATCCCCACCCAATTGTTCAGGTTTGGCTGCAGAACTCTGTTCGTTAAATAAATAAAGCGGGGACCCTAGTTCACCCCATCTCCCATGTCTCTCCTTCTAATTTTGGGTTGTGGGTGCCACCTGCTGTCCTTGTGCCTTCAAGGAAGAAGTTCTCTCTATCTTCTTTCCCTTGATTTCTTCTACCACGCTTTAGTCCCAGACTTCTTCTGTATTTCCTTTTGCTTGTTGCCTGCTTCCTCTTCAATCTCCCTGCTCGGTTTCCCTTTGCTCTTTGGGAGTGCCTGGGTATCTCAGAGAGGGGAATAGGCCAAGGAAACTGTCGGTGGCTTTCAAGCTGTGCTTCCAGATCCAAGAGTTCTAGGCTATTGTCTTGATTAACACTTCCCTAATTCATGCTTCACATCTCCAGGCTCCTTGGATGCTGCTTAGAGATATCAGGTTCCTGTTTATATAACACAGCCTTATCCTGTATGCTCCAGGCGAGCCAAAAATCCGAGCAGGGAAGAATCCTGACGGTTTTGTCTTTCATTTGGCTGATGGGCTTTAAATATTTAGAAAAGCGAAAGTAAACATCTTCAAAAGGCTCCATGCACTCGCTCTTGATGTTCAAAACGGTTGAGATTTATAAACTCGGCGGCGGTGGGGTGGGAAAGGTCCCACTTTCTTGAGGACGTTGGGCTGATACTGTAGAATTTCCACCCAAGAATATGTGTCTGTGGATCCTCCTCTTGCCTGGATTTGCTGGTGAAGCTCCCTGGAGTGGTTTTTCTTTCATTAGTAAACTTTTCTTAACCTCTCCAGCTGTTAATGAGCTGCCTTGCAAAATAAGTGGAGGTTGCCAGCTTGGCAGAGACTGTGCAGCAATGTTTGCTTAGGATGGCTTAGGAGGACCAAGAAGCCTTGCCCAGGGCAGACTTTTGACCTATTCACTGGCAGTAAACCAGCCACTGCATGTAAGTCATCCAAGACAAGGTAGCCAGATTAATCGTGATGCGAAGTAGGCTGCAGAAGGCTCCCAGTAACAGCCCTTCCACCATGTTTCTTGTTAAGCTATATTTTGAGCTTTCTGGAGATGCAAAACTACGTCAGGGTTTTGAGGGAAGCAAAAGGTCTCCATGTCTTCTGCATATCCCTAGGAACCCACCCATCAAAAATATTGATGCCAACTTGGAGAGGCTTCTGCAGATTGTTAGGGCAGTAAATATATATATATTAGTGGTGCTGGATTTTCTTATTGGGTCATTCATCAGAGTCCTACTCCTGCCCCCCATTCCGTGATCCATGAGGAAACTCTTATGGCTCATCAGACTGTTCATCCATCTCACTCAGTATAGTGGTACCTCAGGTTAAGAACTCAATTCGTTCTGGAGGTCTGTTCTTAACCTGAAACTGTTCTTAACCTGAAGCACCACTTTAGCTAATGGGGCCTCCCACTGCCGCTGCGCTGCCGCTGCACGATTTCTGTTCTCATCCTGAAGCAAAGTTTTTAACCCGAGGTAATATTTCTGGGTTAGAGGAGTCTGTAACCTGAAGCGTATGTAACCCGGGGTACCACTGTATTGCCTACTCAGACTGGTAGCAACTCTCCGTGGTCTCAGGCTGAGGTCTTTTTCATCACCTGAGGGATATAGCCAATGTTATATGCAGGACCATAGTTTCACCACTCCTGCTCTAAACCTTCATAGCCTTCCTTTAAACCTTCGGAACAAGCATGGTGTAGTGGTTACAGTGGTCTAACCCAGGCTTCCTCAACCTCGGCCCTCCAGATGTGTTTGGCCTACAACTCCCATCATCCCTAGCTAGCAGGACCAGTGGTCAGGGATGATGGGAATTGTAGTCTCAAAACGTCTGGAGGGCCGAGGCTGAGGAAGCCTGGGTTAGAGTGTCCAACTTGCACCTGGGAGACCAGGGTTCAAATCACCACTTACCCATGGAACTTGCCCTGTGACCTTGGGCCAGCCACTGCCTCTCAGACTAGCCTACCTCAAAGGGTTGTTGTGAGAATGAAGGCGCAGCAGAACCATATATGGTTAGGGGGGAAACACACAGAGAGATGCTTGCCGCATCTGCAGTGGGAGGGGAAACACACAGACCCTCCAAAGAAGCTATAAAAATCAATATCTCTTAATGGAATATAAAAGGGGGTGAATAAGGAAAGCTCTTTTTTTCATTTCTAACTCCCCAAAAGGAAAAAAAAGATGGAGGGGAATAAGAGAGAGAGACAGAGAATATAGAAAACAAATTATAAACTGCACAAACAGGATGACGGTGGGGGGGGGGAGCGAAACCTCCGGCATTGTCCTTTTAAGGGAAACTTAAATTACTGAATTTGGTAACTTGGAAATCCCTCGGGGATGTTAAGACATGGCCTTCTACTTTTTAAACCCATTACATCTATCTGGTGGTATCTCTGGAGGGAGCCCAGTTTTAATAGTATCATCTGAAATGTAATGAACCCTTTGGTCATGATGAACAACCAGGAAGGTACAGGCCCCCAAGGAGTTCAGATTTAATTCCAAACAATCTGAAAAGAGGCACTTACAGCCGCATATATTATTTCCTACTCTGGGAAAATAGTTGGGGCTTTTCTCTTTTTTTTTAAGAGGCATATGTCTTGGAAACTGAATACCTAATGTATATACATACACGCCTGGCTGGGAAAGGAAAATCCACATATTTAACATGCTGGATGCAAACACTGAGCTATTTAGAGAATCTGCGGCTCAGCCGCCTCTCCCTGCTCGGCTATATCTGCTGCTATGATTGTAAGGTGCTTGAAGCATAGATCTTACCTGTGGTGTTTTATGATGTTCCAACAGAAACAAAGAGAGAAACAACATCCCTTTTTTTTTGAGTAGTTGACAAGTGGTGTCTGCAACAAAATGTTGCAGGGGATCCTCACTTTCTAGCAATGGCACTCTCGCTCAGGGTTCTGGCCAGTCATCCAGCCAGGCCCTCTTTGAGAGCACTCCATTTGATTTGATTTCATTTATTTATTCCATAAGAGTTATACTGTATAGCACTTGATTTTTTTTTAATAAAAAACCAACAGCAACAACCTGAATGTGGCTTACCGAAAGATTAAACAATAAAATGAAAAGCAAAATGATCAACAGGAATCTATCCATATATACATGATTGCAATTTATTGCCCACCCTTCGCCACAAGGTACCGAGACAGGTTAGAAGAATTTAAAATACCGTATTTTTCGCTCTATAGGACGCACTTGTTTTATTTTATTTTTAAATTAATATTTATTGCTTTCCCAACGATTTAAACACTACAAAAACAATACAATACAATACAGTACAAAAACACTACATAACATTAACACATTAAACACATTAAACTAACAAAACAAAACAAAAACAGTTTAAAATAAATCAAATAAATCAAACAAGTTCAATATCTTATCTTTCATTCACTTATTTCCACGACCTCCTCACACCTCCCTTTTTGTATTCCACTTCTGTTAATTGTTTCAGCAATTCCTTTCCATCTTCCTCTGTTTTCTATCCTATAATTATCTTAACACATTCTAATCTTACTTTTCCTTTAATACTCTATTTATCTATTTATACTTATTTCCTTATAAAATTTCTAGTAAAGCCATATAATTTCATTCCAACATTCTAACATTCATTAATTTTACAATATTTCTGTAAATAGTCTTTAAATTTTTTCCAGTCTTCTTCCACCAATTCTTCTCCCTGGTCTCAGATTCTGCCAGTCATTTCCGCCAATTCCATGTAGTCCATCAACTTCATCTGCCATTCTTCCCGGGTGGGTAAATCTTGTGTCTTCCAATACTTCGCGATGAGTATTCTTGCTGAAAAGTTCTATCCTTCTTTGGCACCAATTGGCCGACCATGCCCAGGAGAAAGGCCAGGACGCACCTTGTTTTAGAGGGGGAGAACAAGAAAAAGAAATTCTCCCCCTCTCTGCTCAGCACCCCTTCAGTGAAGTGGCAGGAGAAACGGAGCCCCTTCCATTCCTCCTCCCGCTTCACTGAAGGGGCGCTGCGCAGCTCTCCCTCTCTGCTTAAGCCAGGAGAGTCTTGCTCTCCTGGCTTCAGCAAAAGGAACCCAAAGTCTCCAGAGCGCAGCGGGAACTCGCACTGCGCTCCGAAGGCTTCAGGCGGCTATCCCTGAAGCCTGGAGAGCAAGAGGGGTCAGTGCGCACCAACCCCTCTCACTCTCCAGGCTTCAGCGAAAGCAACGCGAAGCCTCCAGAGTGTGGAGGGAGCGCTCCCTCTGCGCTTCGGAGGCTTCGCGTTGCTATCGCTGAAGCCAAGGAGCCCGCTTTCGCTCCATAGGACGCACACACATTTCCCCTTAATTTTTGGAGGGGAAAAAGTGCATCCTATAGAGCAAAAAATACGGTACATTATCGAAACAGTCTAAAAGAATCCACCATCATAATAATGATGTGGGTCCCGAGAACACATATCTCAGGTGTCGAAGGTAACGATGCACCTTTGCGGGGAGGAAATGCTATAATTTAGGGGCTGTCACAGAGAATACCCTTTCTTGGGCCATGACCACCCCCAAACATTTGTGGGGGGTGGAACTACTAAGGCCCATCTAGTCCAGGATCAAAGACCCTGATGTTGGGAAAGAATGAGGGCCCAAGGAGAAGGGGACAACGGAGGACGAGATGGTTGGACAGTGTTCTCGAAGCTACCAGCATGAGTTTGACCAAGGAGGCAGTGAAAGACAGGAGTGCCTGGCATGCTCTGGTCCATGGGATCACGAAGAGTCGGAGACGACTCAACGACTAAACAACATCAAGTCCAGCGTCCTGTTCTCACAGTGACCAACCAGGTGCCCCCATGGGAAACTCTCAAGCACGACCTGAGTGAAACACAAATTCTCCCTGCTTATGATTCCCAGAAACACGCAACAGTAGGGTTGCCATATTTCAAAAAGTAAAATTCCCCAACACCCACAAAATTGTTTTGTCATTGTGTTGCCTAGTGTCGGATTTAGGTTTGATGAGGCCCTAAGCCACTGAAGGTAATGGGGCCCTTTATATGTCCAGCTGTCCTTTGTCAACAACAAATTGTCGCTGTTTTTTGTGCTGAATATATGCTATATGGTAATTTATGAACCTAATAGGTATCTAAAGCCATTTGCACATGTTGTCATGCAACCAGTCCATTCAGAATGTAGGCACCCTATATATAGAAATGAGCAAACCAGTGATATTTTAGGGAGCAGGCTAGCAGGAGGGGCCCATTAATTACATCATAGGAGCCTACACAACACAAGACACTGTTGCTGTATGTAGGCTTTATTTTATTTGTTTTTTATCTTATATTATGGAAATGTACATCCAGTTTTTTTCCCTTTAAATTTTTTTGGGACCCCCAAGAGAGACGTATTATTCTATTACAGTCAAACCTCTGTTTCCAAACATCTCTGTTATCGTATGTTTCGGCTCCCGAACACCAAAAACCCAGAAGTAAATGCTCCAGTTTTCTAACATTTTTTGGAAACCTAGCATCTGACACAGCTTCCACTTGAGTGCAGGAAGCTCTTGCAACCGTAGCTGTCAAGTGTCCCTTATTTGAAGGGACAGTCCCTTATTCCAGCGCCATGTCCCGCTGCTGTCCCTTATTGATGGATGTCCCTTAAATGTCCCTTAAATGATGTCCCTTAAATTTCAAAGGAAGCAGCTCCTCTCCCTCCCTCCCTGCCGGCCCGGGAGGAGGGAGGCTCCAACTGTGTTGCTTGGCTGTGTTGCTCACCCAATAAGAAGTCTAAGAACGACTGGGGGGTGGAGCTTGCATGCCTTGTGTGTGGCTAGTTAATGCAAGCTGAGGAGGTTTTTGAATGCTGGACGCCATTTTGTTGCACGTGCTGCTGCAAACTTTGCAGTGCAAAGCCAGGCCGGGGAGCCATCTTAAGTTGAGACTGCATAGGCCTTGTGGTGCATGTGATTCAGATTCTATTCAGTTGAACCTCTGGTTACAAAGTTGGTTGGACAGTGTTCTCGAAGCTACCAGCATGAGTTTGACCAGACTTCAGGAGGACAGGAAGACTGGAGTGCCTGGAACAGGTGAGGTCCCTTATTTTGGCTGCTGGTCCCTTATTTTCAAGGCTGCTGATCCCTTATTTTCAAATCTGTAAGTTGACAGCTATGCTTACAACCAATCAGAAGCTGTGCCTCGGTTGTCGAACGTTTCAGAAATCAAATGGTCTTCCGGAACGGATTACATTCGACAACCGAGGTTTTACTGTATTATTATTATTATTATTATTATTATACCCCGCCCGTCTGACTGGGTTGCCCCAACCACTCTGGGCAGCTTCCAACATTTATAAAAACATAATTAAACATTAAAAAAGCTTCTCTATGCAGGGCTGCCTTCAGATGTCTTCTAAATGCTGTACAGCTACTTTTCTCCTTGGCTTGGGGGGGGGGGGGTTCGCATGACTCCATACCCTCCAGCATTTATCCAATGAAAATAGGGACATCCTAAGGGAAAGCAGGACATTCCAGGATCAAATCAGAAACCGGATTGGCTTCTGTAAATCCAGGATTTTCCCTGGAAAATAGGGACACTTGGAGGGGCTGAGCCTCCACTGCACATTTTTCTACGGCTGCTAAAAAGCATTTTGTTTATACAAGCCTACCCAGATGTTGAGAAAGAGGATGCAAGTTTTCATCTGTTTTTAGCCTATTATGATTTATTACTTTTTGAACGTCTCAAATTATTGTTACCAATTTATGGAACCTATAGCCCTCCAGATGCTGCCTGACTACAACTCCCATGATCCCTCAGCATTGATTATGTTGGCTGGGGCTGATGGGAATTAGAGTTCAGCAACTGGTAAAAGGTAAAAGGTAAAGGACCCCTGGATAGTTAAGTCCAGTCAAAGGCCACTATGGGGGTGCGGCGCTCATCTCACTTTCAGGCCGAGGGAGCCAGTGTTTGTCTACAGACAGCTGTGGCCAACAGGACTAAAGCACTACTGGCGCAACGGAACACCGTGACGGAAACCAGAGTGCCCGGAAACACTGTTTACCTTCCTGTCACAGTGGTACCTATTTATCTGCTTGCATTGGCATGCTTTCGAACTGACAGGTTGGCAGGAGCTGGGACAGAGCACTGGCGGAGGAAAGGGGGCGGGGGAGCGCACCGTCCCCCACACCATTGGGGAAGGGGGTACCATGGCGGCTGGTCCCCCCCTAGACACACGCCGCACACACCCCACCGTGCAGGGCACCATGTCCCCACGGGCGGCACACCATGCCCCCGGGACGTGCGCCATGTGCCCATGGGTGGCGTGCCATGCCCCTGGGATGCGCGCCAGCTACGCCCCCTCCTGATCTCCACCCCTGATGCCAGAGCATGCAGCTTTGCCACTGGGACAGAGCAATGGGAGCTCAGCCCGTCGTGGGGATTCGAACCGCCAACTTTCCGATCGGCAAGCCCAAGAGGCTCAGTGGTTTAGACCACAGCGCCACCAGCAACTGGAGGGCTATAGACTCCCCATCACCAATTTTGTGAATTGCTGTGAATTGCTGCTTTTTAAAACGGTGCTATTTCATGGATTCTTTTTATCAGAGAGCTGGTGTGTTGTATCATAGCTAGTTTCAATCTAGGACCTGAAGACTCAGGTTCAAATCCCCATTCAGCCAACTGGGTGATCTTTAGCCAGTCACTGTTTCTTTTTCTTTTTTCTTTTTTAAAATGATATTTATTAATTTTCAACCATTTAAACACAACAAAACAGAAAGACAAAAAAAGAGAAAGAACAAAAAAAAGAAAAAAGAAAAACATAAAACTAACAAAGCAAAACACAAACCATTTCAAACACAGAACAATTTCAATGTCTTATCTTTCATTCCCTTATTTCCACGACCTCCTCACACCTCCCTTTTTGTTTTCCACTTCTATTAATTATTTTAGCAATTCCTTTCCATCTTCCTCTGTTTTCTATCCTATAATTATTTTAACATATTCTAGCCTTATTTTCCTTTTAATACACTATTAATCTATTTATACTTGATTCCTTATAGCATTTCTACTAAAGCCATATAACTTCATTCCAACATTTTTCTAACATTCATTATTTTTACAGTGTTTCTATAAATAGTCTTAAACTTTGTCCAGTCTTCTTCCACCAGCTCTTCTCCCTGGTCTCGGATTTCTGCCAGTCGTTTCCGCCAATTCCATATAGTCCATCAACTTCATCTGCCATTCTTCCCGAATGGATAAATCTTGTGTCTTCCAGTACTTCACAATGAGTATTCTTGCTGCTATTGTTGCATACATGAAACAAATTCTATCCTTCTTTAACACCAATTGACCGACCATGCCCAGGAGAAAGGCCTCTGGTTTCTTCAAAAGGGTATATTTAAATACCTTTTTCATTTCGTTAGGGATCATCTCCCAGAGTGTCTTAATCCTTGGGCATGTCCACCAAAGGTGAACTCTAATCCTCAAATTCGTCTGTTTTTCTTTAAGTTCAGTCATAGCAAGCGTCAACTTATGTTCATCAAATTGCCTCTGTAGGGCTGGGGCTCTCTTTCTCTTTCTCTCCAGTTGTGTCACTCTACCCTCAGCAGCAACAGCTCCCTCCCTGACCTCCTCCACAGCCCGCCACATCAGAATAGGTTCCTGCATCAATCCCTGGGTGGTTTCTGCATTGGTATTATTTATACTCTCTGTATTTAAGTTAATTTTAGTAATTGAAACATCCACTTTCGCATTTATCGTGTCCATTTTCCTGTGAAGCTGGTCCAACGAGTCATTTATCTTATATAATGCAGCCACCAAAGCCTCCTCTGTCGACATTTCTTGGTTTTAAATATACTAGTACAAAGACAACAACAGAGAGAACAGAAGGGCCCAACGATAGACCTCTCCTGGATTGTTACCAAGTCCTCCCAGACCTTAATGTTTTGTCAACAGTTGACTGGTCTGTTTTTCCTCTTCCATTTACCATAACACTTAAAAGATTCAAGGTCAGTCCCAGAGTCTCACGGTTTTTAACTTGCAGCTGGAAATTCCCCTAGTCCAGCTCTTGTAAAGCAACCGGTTTCAAAGGCTTCCACTAGGGGGAAGCAGTTTCTATTTGTAATAGTCAATAGTGTCCTCTTTTAAACAATCCAAAATTAGTTTCAAATTAGTTTCAATTTTCAGTTACTTTTACTCCTTTTTAAAGCAGCCGGAGACAGTAGAAACAATGTATTTCTCTTATTTAACTAGCTGTCAATGAACGTTCTCAATGCTGTCAATTAACATTCCAAAAGACGTCAGTCCTACTAGCAGCCCGTTTCCAGGGTCAGAGCGGCGGTGTTTTAAGTCTCTTCGCTCTCTCTATCCGCAACCCCCCCCTCTTCTCCTGCCTCCAAGAAGGGGTTTAATGTTCTTTACCGTTGGAAATTTGATCTTTTACGAAAGACCTTCCAGGACTCCAGCTTGCAACTTCATTGCCTCAATCTATTTACAAAAGGGGGAGGCGGACTTCCTGTTTTGAACCTCCCCATTACGGTGCCAAATTAAACATTTAGAAATCCAATTCTTCTGCTTCAGCTCTACTCACGGGTAATTACTTTAAAGTCAAATTGTCCACAGGAAAAGGTCAGCGCTCTCTGGCGACAGCTATGCGGCTTCGCTCCGTGGAAGAAGCAGACAATTCGATGCACCGCGCCGCTCACCCCACGTCGCTCCGGAGCCCCAAAAACCGGGGTTCCCTGCGAGTGGGGGAGGCGCAAAAGGTGCCCGCCGAATCCCACGTTCACAGGCTTCTCCCGCCTGTGATTTTAACGGGTCTCCGCCTTCGCCGTGGCGGCCAGACCCAGATTTCCACGGAGCAGATTCCTCCCGGTCAGAGGAATTCCGCCATTGCCAGAGGCGCCTCCCCCGGAAGTCAGCCAGTCACTGTTTCTTCACCCAGCCTACCTCACAGGGCTGTTGTGAGGATAAAATGGGGAGAGGAAAATCCATGCATGCCACCTTGAGCTCCTTGGGGTATAGGTAGGACACAAATATAATAAATGAAATAAATAAATTGTTTGGCTTCTGCTGTACACTGCCCTGTGGCTTATGCCAACAGCAACATAGAAATAACCCAATTAAATTAAAATGAATAAATCAGCCATTATCCTTCCTGAAAGCCAGTTCCACAGGAGCACCAATCTCATTCCAGTTCTTGAAAAATCCACCTTTTCTTTCCCCCTTCTACGTGGCTTTTAAAATGTCCTGGTTTTTTTAACTTGAAAACTCACTGGAGTTTGGTGCCGGGGAAGCCTAATGGGTCTTGTTCAGCAGTGGAATCAAATGGAGGAGAAAGTGGTTTGTGTGTGTTGAAAGAAAGAGAGAGGTCAATAAACACAGAAAGCTATGTAGAGTACCTGAAGTGGAAACTGTGTGTTCAGCCATTTTCAAATAAAGCAGGCAAAGAATGCCCTATAAATAGCTTATTAAACTATTTATGATTTGTGCCTCCTCACGGGGGGGAGATCAGCATCTGTGGGAAGCCATTCACAGGTGTTTGGGCTGAAATTCCAGCAATCTTGCCCTCGCTATAAAATAAAAAACCCTACCCCGTTCTTCACAGTTTTCCAGAATCCTGCTTCTTGAGCCAAGTTCTTTGTCACCATCTGTCGTGGGAAGGCTGAAACCCTCTAGAGAGGTTGTTTGACTGAGATTTGGTCTGTGAGAATGAGCAGGAAGGTTTTCTGTATTTTTGGAGTAGGTGGACATCCTAAAAGATGTAAGAAGGGCCCCCCTGGATCAGACCAGTGACTCACCTAGTCCAGCATCCTATTCTCACAGGGTCCAGTGAGATGACTCTGGGAAATCTCCATGTAGGGCTTAGGCATAAGAGCACTCGCCCCTCCTGTAGTTTCCCCAAAGTGCCATTCAGAGACATTCTGCCTAAGAGAGCGCCAGTAGAAAATAGTCATCATGGAGAGTAGCTGCTGGGAGTTCTCTTTTTCTTTTTCTTGAAATCATTTTTATTTGATTTTACAAATATAAAGTTCTAACAATACAATCACACACACCAACAGTTAAAAGATTCCCTCAAATCTCTGGAATTCCCACCTTCCCCTCCGTGGGTCCTTTGGTTAAACTTTTTCTACTGCATCTTTTTCAATAATCTATATTTTATATACTGTATTTTTCCATGTATAACATGCCCCCATGTATAAGGCTATGTCGGGGGACTCAAAATTAAGAAAATGGGGGGAGATTGCCCCCACGTATAAGACTACCCCCCCTTTTAACATTATTTTTTAGTAAAAAAAAATCCTAGTCTTATACACGGAAAAGTATGGTAATCCCAATATCTCCATAGTGCTTGCTACTTTACAAGTGTTATTGCAATCCTGGTAGTGTTTTCATCTGCTTACAGTGGTCTCCAAGATATAATTTTTTCCCATTCTTTGTTGAAGTTTTGGTCTTCTTGATTTCTGAACTTTCCGGTCAATTTTGCCATTTCGGCATAGTCCATCAGTGTAATTTGCCATTCTTCTCTGGTAGGGACTTTATCTTCTTTCCATCTCTGGGCTAACAGCATCCGTGCGGCTGTTGTCGCATGCATAAAAAGTCTTTTATGTTGCCTTGGAATATTGGCACCTGGGAGTTTTCTCCTCCTCTGTTCTCCCTGCTTTGCACATTGCCCAATGTGCTGTCACTCTGGTTCATGTAAAACACTTCTCTGAGGACAAAAAACCCTTATGGATATATTATTCATCTTGGCCTTAAGAGCCCCACACTTCCATCTCCAACCACACCCATATAATTCACAACACAAAAAAGCCAATCATTACATCAATACAATAACACCTCAGTATCAGATCATTTCAAAACATAACTGGTCGCCAAGATTAGGCTTACTCAGAGTAGACTCACTGAAATTAATAGAACTGGCTAACTTTTATCTGTTCGTTTCAGTGGGCCTACTCAGAATAAAAGTTATAACCCAGTACAACAAATAAATCGTTTTTGATAATATAAACATTACAACATTTTAAATCATTGTAAAATAAACTGCAAATCATTAAAAGCATTTCCATCAACCATAGCAAGCATTTCCAATACAATCACATATTAACATTAATAAAACCAGCAGCCACTGCACAACGGCACCATGCAAAGTTGTATAAAAATAGCAAATAAAGTATATAAGATTTATCGAGGCTAAGAGTTAAAGAGGGCACAATTCCTAGCAGTTTGATCGTATATTATAAAATGCATCTCAATTAATAAATCTATGTTATAAAGTAGAAGAAGAAGAAGAGTTTGGATTTGATATCCTGCCTTTCACTCCCTTTAAGGAGTCTCAAAGCGGCTAACATTCTCCTTTCCCTTCCTCCCCCACAACAAACACTCTGTGAGGTGAGTGGGGCTGAGAGACTTCGGAGAAGTGTGACTAGCCCAAGGTCACCCAGCAGCTGCATGTGGAGGAGTGGAGACGCGAACCCGGTTCCCCAGATTACAAGACTACCGCTCTTAACCACTACACCAGTAAAGGGGTTAAGGGTTCTAAGTCCTACCCTGAGCAGACCCACTGAAATTAATGAAGCTACATTAGTCATATCCTTTAAGTTCAATCGGTCCACTAGGGAGTAGGACTAACTTTGGATGCAATCCTAAAACTTGAATCACAGAATCATACAATTGTCAAATTGGAAGGAGCCCTGAGGATCATCTAATCCAATCCACTGCAATGCAGGAATATGCAGGTGTCCCATCCAGGGATCGAACCTGCAACCTTGGCGTTATCAGCAACACGCTCTAACCTACTGAGCTATCCAGGCTAAGTGTACCCATTGCACAGAGTTGCTGTTTAGTTCTGCCTGAAGCAGGGATGGAGGACCCATCGTCCTCTAGCTGCTGTTAGACTCCAACTCCCATCAGCCCCAGACAGCATGGCCAATGGTCAGGAATGATGGGAGCTGGAGTCCCAAAACATCTGGAGGGCCACAGGCTCCCCATTCCTGGCTCAGAGCAAAATATTGTGGCAAATGTGGAGAGGTTTCCTAGGGAGAAACATCTGAAAAGCTAATAGATTCCTCACCCCCCCAGTAAGGCTAATAAACATTTCTTGAGGGGGGGAACCTATAACATTCCTGGAGGCAACAAGAGCTCCAGTGCCCATTATTGCCATACTAAGGTTCTTTCTTTCTTTTTTTCCCTGCGACACAAAACCCCCTTTGCACCTACAAGTCCTCCGCTCACGTTTCGAAGTGCCTCTTTATCTTGAATCTTTCAGCCAGCTCGGATCTGCTTCTGATTCATAACCACCTTTAATTAGGTGCTGGCACCTTTGCCATGCTGGCTGCAAGGGAGAGTAATTAAATTTAATGGAAGCCACCCTTGCTTTGAAGCTGGCCATAACTTAAGGCTATCGGGAGAAGCAATTAAAATGCAACTGCTGCAGGTCTCTCTACCCATTAACTGCACACACAGGTGACTATACACACACACACACACACACACACACAGAGAGAGAGAGAGAGAGAGAGAGAGAGAGATGTATATTTCAGTCAAACTCGATAGCTTTCTATAATGCACTCAGATTATATATGTTGTTATTGTTACTGAAACTTCTCTCCCACTGTTCTTTAAAAAAACAAAAAGGCAAGGGGTCTTAAAACATAACACCACCTCAAAACAACAACACTATCCAGAATCACCGCAGCTCAAATGGCAGGCATCTAGATCCCATGGATGCTTACTCAGAAGGAAGTCCTCCTTTGTTCCCTGTAACATTGAACTCGGTGGCACTGCGTAGGACTGTGCTGTGTGAGGTTCAGAGTCAGAGACAGTCACTTGCATCACAAGTACGTCCAAACCGAAACCTGGAGAGGCTCCATTGACGCAGGCATCAATCCCCTGGCATCACCAGGTAGGCTTGGCAAAGGATCCTTTCTGAGTACTCTGCTACGTCAGTGTTGATAACAGTGACCTTGGTAGACAAACATGTCTGATTTGGTACAAAGCAATCCCAATCACCCACCAACCCCATATTTTCTGTTCATCTTGGACCACATTACCCACTAACCTATGGTCCTGATTTTATAGATGATTAAGAGCAGCCTACTGGGATGCAGGTGGCGCTGTGGGCTAAACCACAGAGCCTAGGACTTGCCGATCAGAAGGTCAGCGGTTCGAATCCCCGCGACGGGGTGAGCTCCCATTGCTCGGTCCCTGCTCCTGCCAACCTAGCAGTCCAAAAGCACGTCAAAGTGCAAGTAGATAAATAGGTACCACTCCGGCAGGAAGATAAACAGCATTTCCATGCACTGCTCTGGTTCACCAGAAGTGGCTTAGTCATGCTGGCCACATGACCCGGAAGCTGTACGCCGGCTCCCTCAGCCAATAAAGTGAGATGAGCACCGCAACCCCAGAGTCGGTCACGACTGGACCTGATGGTCAGGGGTCCCTTTACCTTTACCTTACTAGGAACAGCCTTTATTGAGAGATCATCTATTGTCAAATAATCCTTCCACTGTGCAGGTATTCCAGGTTAAAAAAAAAAAAGAGTTGGAATTAGTAACCTGAAAACATCCATCAGGATGGCTAGATCAGCTTCGCCTTGTATAGTTTGGCTAAAGCAACAGCCTTGCCTACCAGAGTGGCGGTTGTATATGACATCACCACTCTAGAACCTCCATTCTTGAACATTCTGTTTGGCCTCCAATCCCACCCTGCCTCACCAGACCAGCTTCTCCAGGCCAGCTGCGTAGAGAATCGTCCAAAGAATGTCTGATCCCAAGCTTCTAGACATCCCAGCTGTGATCTTTGACAATGGGTCTGGATTATGCAAGGCTGGCATTGCTGGGGACAGTGCCCCAAGGGTGGTCATCACAGCAATTGTTGGCCGCTCCAAAGCCAAAGCCACAATGCTTGGCGCTGGCCAGAAGGAATTTTACATTGGAGAAGAAGCTCAGTGCAAAAGGGGCGTCTTGTCACTGAATTACCCCATTGACCATGGCATCGTGACATCTTGGGATGACATGGAGAGGATATGGAGGCATGTCTATGAGTGTGAACTGAGGATCAAATCCAGCGACAGACCAGTGCTCTTGACTGAAGCCCCACTGAATCCTCTCCAGAACAGGGAGAGAATGACGGAGATCATGTTTGAAAATTTCAAGGTGCCTGCCATGTATGTTGCTGTCCAGGCTACTTTGGCACTCTATGCATCAGCACGGACCACGGGGATAGTCATAGACAGTGGGGATGGTGTCACTCACACAGTCCCCATCTACGAAGGCTACTGCTTGCCACATGCTGTCTCCAGGTTGGACGTTGCTGGGCGGGACATCACTGAGTACTTCATGAGGCTCCTTCTGGAGAGCGGGCTTTCCTTCGTCAGCACAGCAGAAAGGGAAATCGTGAAAGACATCAAGGAGAAGCTCTGCTACGTGGCTTTAGATCCCATCCAAGAAATGAAAGCTAAGCCAGAATACCTTCTCAGAGAGTATAAACTACCAGATGGTAATATCATCAGAATCGGAAGCCAACTCTTCCGAGCCCCTGAAGCCCTTTTCGCGCCAGCTAACATTGGTGTCGATGCTCCCGGAGTCCACAAAATGGCTTTCAACAGCATCATGAAATGCGACATTGATGTCCGCAGAGATCTATATGGGAACATTCTCCTCTCGGGTGGATCCACCTTGTTTTATGGCTTGGATGAGCGTATCCTGAAGGAAATGCAGCTTCAAGTGCCGATCGGGATATCGGTAAGGATCATTGCCCCACCAGAGAGGAAGTACTGCGTGTGGATTGGGGCCTCCATCCTGACTTGCTTGACATCTTTCAGACAAATGTGGGTCACCCTCAATGATTACAAAGACTTTGGCCCAGGCGTCGTTCACCGGAAATGTTTTTAAGACTGACGGCCTTCACCTGTGATCTTGCTAGAACAAAGGGAGCTCAAGAAAGGCCACAAACAGGTGCACTTCCCAAATATTTTCTTTTTTTAGAAAGAGATTCAGCTGTTGTCTCTTTGGATTTATTGGCTGGCCAAAATTTAAAAGAAAATAAAAAGAGAAACACACATTTGGATCATAGTGGCTTTTCATTGTTATCATTCTGTGTGTTCTGTGGTCTAATGCAGGGGTCAGCAAACTTTTCCAGCAGGGGGCCGGTCCACTGTCCCTCAGACCTTGTGCAGGACCGGACTATATTTTGTTTTTTTGGGGGGTGATGCAAGAGCCCCACGAGCCCCAGTGGCTGCTTACCTGTGTCTTGCGAGCGGCAGGGGCTAGCGGCAGTGGTGGTGGTGGCGGCGGCGGCAGAGGGATGATGAGTGGTGTGTGAAAGGCCTCCGGAGAGGGGCTGCTTAAAATGGCAGCCACTCAAGCGCTGCTGCTGCTGGCACCAACAAAGCCCAGCCCCCTTCCTCCTCTAGGCAGGGCAGGGAGAAGCCAGGAGGAGGGAGGGAGGAGGAGTGGCGGCACCGTGTAAGGGAGAGGGAAAGAAACTATGTGCTGGTGATTCACAAGGTGATTCCCGGACCGTCTGCAGGCCGGATCCAGAAGGCAGTTAGGCCTGATCCGCCCCTCGGCCCTTAGTTTGGCTACCCATGGTCTAATGGCTAAGATATGACTGAAAATAAGGGAGGGTGGCAGGCACTGAAAGGGGACCAAATTCAAAGAAATGTTTCAGGTCTATTTGAGATCTATTTGTAAGAATCTGCCTTATATCAAGTCTGACCATTGGTGCATCTTGCTCAGTATCTTCTACAAAGCCAGGCAGTGGCTTTCTAGGGTGTAGATGAGGAACATTCCCAGCCCAACATGCCAAAGGCTTTAACGTGTAAATCAGATTGGTACATAAGGCTAGTTGCAGGTTACAGGAATCAGCAGGTTCATGAGAGGTGAAACCCATTACTAAGTGCAAGCTAAGATGTTGATCCCACAAGCAATACCCACCCTACTGCATCTTCTTTTTGAAGCACGGAGTGGGTACAGCTCTTTGTGTGGCAAGTTGACTGGAGTTCCCGGACTGGGAAAGCAAACAGGCAGTCCTCCTTGTGTTTGAATAGGTGGCTTTTGCTCATGGTGGCATCTTTGTGTCCATGGCAAGGGAGGCAGAGTCTCAGACAGCTCAGTATCAGACTGACTTTCAACCATCTCTCCTAACCATCTCCTGAATGCTAAGAGGAGATGCTGATGGTGGCTCATGGGCAAGAGGCAACAGACTGGGTATATCAGGAGGGAAGGAATGGGACATTCCTCTGTTATCTCACTTTGGCCTTCACTGGGGTCCAGATCTCCACTCCCTAACCTTCTTGGTCCTTCTCCTTGGTATCAGGCACCTCCTGTGGCTCTAATTTGACATCCTTCAACTCACTGGGACCTTCCCCTGGGTCTTCCAGCACTAACACTGTATGTGCCTCCCACACCTCATCTGGATCTAACCACCCACTCTACAACACTTCCACAGACATGTGAAATCAAGAGGACATCACACACACTGCTCTGAGCTCCCTTTGAAGATGGGTGAGATAAACCAGTAATGGAAAAGTACACATTCCAGTAATCCATGGACAACAATTGAGGGGGTCCTCTTTAAGATTTATCCCTGCTCTCCTGATATTCTCTTACTCCAGCTGGCATCGCCTGAAATTCTTCTACTTCCCTTGTTCTCCATTACCCACCCCTAAGATGCACATTGTTTCTTCTTCTTTACCTGTCCTCAACCTCCCACTTAATCATGGGAAAGAGCAGTGCTCCCCAATATATCCGATGTTTTAGACCACAACTCCCATCACCCCTGTGCAACTTTCATCAATCCTGCCCATTGGCCATACTTGCTGCAGTGATGGGTATTGTAGTCCAACACATCTGGAAGGTGCTGTGTCATAGGAAGGCTGGGCCAGATGTTCTAACCCTCTTCCTCTTTCATTCTTTTCCATGGCAAGCCCTGGGGCTGGGCTGGGCTGGGCTGGGGCTGGAGGATGGAAGTTCATCCATGGCCCCATGATGCCGCAGCACTGCCCTGCCTCTCCTAGTTCTCACTTCTGGCCTCATGAGTCTGAGAGTCAGGCTGCTCCCGAAAAGCATTTATTTGGACTCCATAGAAACTTGCAGCACATCTTCCTCCTACCTGCACACAGAAAGCCTTATCTGTTTGGGGAAAGTGGGGGATTTGTGCCCTTTCAGCTTCTTCCATTTCTAGCTGCTGGATTTCTGGCTGATGGATTTGTGCTTCATCAGACATGACACAGTATGGTGTGGATGCATCTTAATTAGACACAAGTAAAAGTGCTCTTTTGATGCCATTCCCCTTCCCTGGGTTATAGTCTAGGCACTCAGGAGACCAAACTTGCCTCCTCGCACATGGAGAAAGCCCTCGTTATTGTAATATGCATTAAAAATGTTTCCAAACTCATGAAGAGACTGATTAAACACCAAATGAACCAATCTAATTGCATGCCTGAAAATTAAAGAAATGTTTTTTTAAAAGCATCGCCATCAAATTGATAGCTAAACTATTAAGAGCAATTACGCAACTGTGCACATAGAGGTTTTATCAATCTTCTGGTTTCCTAGAGACCACCAGACAATAACAGTGAGCAAACAATCACTAGCTGCCTTGCCCATTGTTATGTAAACCAGTTGTCACTGATCTTAGTGGAGGGCTTTGCACCTTTTAGTGCTGACGCACTGTTTCAAGAATGAAGTTTGTTTCTCCCCCTTGAGATGCCAAGAACATGTGCCGTTGAACCTTCAATGCCATAAAGTGTTTGTGGTGCCATCTTCTCGGAAGCTAGTTTGAAATGGTCCATGAGAATGAGAAAAGTAAGTCCCGAGTCTTCAACAGCCAAGCTGTGATTATTGACAATGGATCTGGACTGTGCAAGGCCGGGGTCTCGGGAGAAGTTGGCCCACGACATGTCATCGCTTCTGTTCTTGGGTGCCCCAAAAGCAAATTATCGCTCTCCAAAACCAGGCAAAAGGAATGCTATGTAGGCGATGAGGCCCAAGACAGGCGAGAAGTGTTGTCGTTGAGATATCCTATCGAGAGCGGCATCATTACTTCATGGGATGACATGGAGAAGATCTGGAAGCACATCTATGACAAAGGGTTGGGAATCAAAGCATTTGAGAGGCCATTGCTAATGACGGAATCGCCTCTAAATCCCAAGGAAGATCGAGCCAAACTCACTCAGCTGATGTTTGAACACTTCAAGGTGCCTGCCTTTTACCTCTCTGTCCAGGCCATACTATCTCTCTATGCTTCAGCCCGCTATACTGGTATAGTGATGGACAGCGGTTTTGGGGTCACCCATGCAGTGCCAGTTTATGAGGGATATTGTTTGCCCCACGCTGTCACCAGGTTGGATATTGGCGGCAGAGACATCACTGAGTACTTGAGGGAATTACTTCTGGAAAACAGGCAATACTTCAGAAATTTTCCCGAAGGGAACAACATTGTGGAGGACATCAAAGTGAAGTTGTGCTTCGTAGCCCTGGATGCCCACCATGAGCAGAACAAGAGGTCCGAGGACTACCCAAAGGAGTATGAACTTCCTGATGGCAACAGGATCAAAATTGGTGATGCTCTCTTCCTAGCTCCAGAGATCCTTTTCACACCCAGCAGCATTAAGAGAAGTGGGCAAGGCCTCCACAAAATGATTGCCAAGAGCATCAAAAAATGTGACCCCACCATCCGCAGCATGCTCTATAGCAACGTGTTGCTCTCAGGAGGTTCCTCGCTCTTTCCGGGATTAGACGAGAGGGTCTTTAAAGGGCTCGAAGCTCAAGTCCCTCAAGGGGTTCCCATAAAGGTCATAGCACCCCCAGATCGGTGGTTCTCAACATGGATCGGGGCCTCCATCATTACATCCCTGAGCAGCTTCAAGCAAATGTGGGTCACTGCTTCGGACTACAGAGAGTTTGGACCAAATGTTGTCCAGAGAAGATGCTATTAAGGAGGACTTGGGATTTTGCATCACATACTATACCTGTAAACAACCATCAACAGCTACAGCTACTTTAAAGCAATGCATTCACCTCTTTCAGAGGTTGAAATAAAAATGCCTTTGCAGGTTCTAACAAGTCACATGAGGTTTGTGTCAATCATTTCCTTGCCCAGTTGCCTTAAATATGGCTTGATTCTTCGTGGTCCTACCAGGGATGGGGTAGAAATTCATTCAGTCCACATTCTGCTGTGGACCTACCTAATTTGCTCACCTTGAATCCAATATGTGAACTAAAATGCAGCTCTCCTTTGAAATCCTCATTTCATGGACCGTTGTGTTGCATTCTCCAACTCAAAAAAGGTATGCAAAAAGAATATTAGGAAAGTGTGATACAGAAAAATGTATATATTACTGAAACAACATGTGAAGATGCATTGTGTTAGAAGACATTGCTTCCAAAAGATGATGATGATTATTATCTATTAAATTTATTAGTCTTTTTTTTTTGCCATTGCAACTCAAAGCAACTTACAATATTTTAAGCAAAAAATAAACTCAAACATACATTGAAAATCTAAATGAAAATAGTTTTTTTTAAAAAATAGAGTAAAACATCCCACCCACCCAAGAAAGCCATAGATAATTTGCCTGGTGCCTAAAGTTATATAATGATGGCAACCAGGTGAGCCTCCTTGGGGGGAGCATTCCACAAACAGGGAGCCACCACTGAAAAGGCCCATTTTCGTGTTGCCACCCTCCACACCTCTTGCACATTTATTAGGAGAAAAGCATGCAAAAATGAGCATTTGGGGTGAACTTGTTCTTCGTTTTTTAAAAAGCAAAGTGTTGTGGGAATATGTCAAACTGAACTAAAGAATGGGAAAATGAAAAACTGATAGAATCTCCCACCCCTAAGACCTTGAGTGGTCTGGGAATCCGACCTTGGAATGTGGTGATCATTCTTCCCTAATGCTCCCAGGAAAGAGTTTGGGTTCCTCTGCCCTTTGAATATCTCAAAAAGGCAGCCATATTAATGTTTGGGAAAGGAGAACTGACTTGTGCATGTGGCCCTGAACTGCAGCACAATGGTGGAGAGCCTATGAACCCTCCAGATGTTGTTGTCCTCCATCTCCCAGCAGCCCTAGCTAGCATAGCACATGGTCATAGCACATGTAGTCCAACCACATCTGGAGGACTGCAGGTTCTCCATCCCCGATGTGCCATTATATCTGAATGAGACCAGTGCAGCTGGGTTGTGTCCAATGTTAGTCCTACTCCAATTTAACTGATGGGTTTTTATAGACATGGACAACTTAGGTTCATTAATTACAATGGGCTCATTCTTAGCTTTGTATCCTGCTTTGAAAGACAAGAGTCGTAATAGCATTATAATGAGACTTAACTGGCGTACT